GTCGCCCTAGGAAATTCTAATATTATCGAGCGAGGTACGGACTTCCCAGACACAGCACACAATCGCTAAATAATTGGGACCCGGGCAACGAAAATAGACGCGCGTGCGTGAGATAGCGGCTGGACACAAACGGGCTAGGTAGGAAAACAATTTAATTAGCTCGCACCAACCGATCCGCCGCGTAAACCGATACCGCTGAAACCGATTGAAATAAAATATACGACGAACTGCCGGAAACCGGTCTATCGAAACGCCGCCGCCGAGATCCGCGTGTCCGCGTCGTCGTTAATCACCGATAAGCCGCCGCCGTCGATAAACCACCGTCGTCGTTTATCAATTTATCGTTGACGTGATAACCGCAGGCGTGATTACCGTGCTTACAAAACACCGGGCCCGCCGCCGCGTAAACACGCAACGAAAACATACCGCCGGATACACATACACACCGCTCGCGTTTTTTCCGTCAAAAGCCATCGCGTACCGGACACAGACTTTTTTTGTAACCGCTGTCGACGATCTTGCGTAGTCTAACGGCCGGACAGTGGCGGCGCGAACTTTTTCGACAGTGAGGCAAGAAAATGTTAGTTTCAGTACACACGACCCACCCATTAAATTTGCACATAGCCGTGGGGGACTACGCCCCCCACACCACCTATCAAAATTCTTTATCAAATTTGCCTTATTGAAAATTGATATTACGGGTACCATAATAAAAATAACTTTTATTAATTACATAAATACTGTTTTATTAATTAAAGGAATATAAGCTCCTATCATCGATTTATTGTACAATAAGCCGGTGAGCATCCTTTCAATTAAAACTATCCAAACATTAATTCTTTTTTCAATACACTTGATGACAATCCAAATTTGTCTATAACTTCATTAATATCTATTGGTATGTCTTTCACAAGAAATCAACATCAAACTCTCTAACCTCTGTTGGGACATTATTAACCTAAGTCTATTTTTGATCAATTTAACCTAAATAAAACAAAGTTAAAATGTAACCATTATCAGTTTACAGAAAAAATTGTAATATAATTATTATACCTTTGAAAAGCTTCTTTCAGCTGAGGCTGATGAGGCTGGAATTATACATAATGCTTTACAAGCACAATACAAATTTGGAAAAGCACTCATAATATCAAAACTTGAAAGAACATTTAATATATTTGCAAGTGTTATGCTCTGTTTTGGTTCACTTACAATATTTTGATGTTCATCTTCTAATGAATCCAATAATAATTTATTAGATTGATTATCTAGGAATTTCATTCCATTAATCAATTCTTTTAAGCTTTTACTAAATAATAAATACTCAATTTTAAATTGATATGGATTAATATCAGTAATCCATGTAGACAAATCTAAAAAGCAATTATCTGGAAGATTCATTACAGATTTATGTTTAGCTTCAATTAACCGCTCTGGGGATAGTAACGCAAGATCTTTCAGTATATCTCTGGCATTACTAAATCTATTGTCTAAAGATGAAATCATTTGATCCTAACATTTGTAATATATGTTTACTCTAAATCTATAATAAAAGTTACACATTCAACAATTTAATAATAGTATTATTTTAATGCTAAATAATTTATTAACCTGTCTGATGCTGAGGAACTGATTTCATTTTGTACATTTTCTCTAGGCATTCTTTTGGTTTTCCTCGTTCGGAGTTTTTTAAAATCATTTTCACAGAGATTATGTTCATAAGTAAATTGTTTGGTATTTTGTACAAGTTCTCGGTAAAATTTGTCGGAACGCAATTCTAATAATCTTTTTTTAGTTTCATCTACCAATATAATGGTTTGAATAAAATCAATGCTATTTGATTGCAGAAAACATGCAGTTAGTGTAGTTATTGCGAATATACTTTTCATTAGCTTAAGAACCAATACAAAATGAAATGAAGAAATAATTAATAAAAACTATTTTGAATTTGAAGCAGTTACTCTATCTATGGATTCCAATAGCAATTCTAAAGTATTTTTTAAAGCTTTATACTTATCATGTATTACTGTAATAACACGATCATGGGACGTCCACCGTGTATCTGAAAAATTTTTAATTTTTCGAATTCTATCTTTAGCTTTAGATCCAATATTTAATTTTTTTTGACATTCATAAAATATAGCAGTTCTTTTCCTGGCTCGCATAAATGTTACAATTCCATGCAAGTCTCCAAAAAATAATTTTGTATCAGTTGTAGAATCCAATGTATTAACAATAACTAGGTTAAGTAAGTGGGCCAAACACCACACATAAATTGCTTTGGGGTTTTCATTTTGAATATATGAACGTAGTCCTGAGTACTACCCTTGCATGGCTGCAGCACCATCGTATGATTGGGCGCATAATTTTGTTTTCCAATCAATTTGATACATTTCTGTAATAGTATAAAAAGTATTATACAGCCCTTTTCCTGTAGCATCTAATGCTGTAACCAAACTTAATAAACGTTCTTCAATATTTCCTTTACGAAACATATCTAACAACAAAAGAAAATTGTTCCAGACTTGTCACATCGGTCGTTGTGTCAACGATAACAGAAAATAATCCAGCTGCTATGAGTCATTTAACAATAACGGATCTAATAATTTCTGCAATAATTAACAATGATTTATTTTGACTCTTATGAGACATGAAGGTAATTTTATTATGATTGTTTGAATTTATTTTTTCTAAATGGTACTGAAGTGTTGAGTTATGATGACTCATTAGCTTAATTAATTCCAAGAAATTACCACGATTATCACTTGAAACGTTTTCACCGTGGCCCTGTAAAGCAATGTTTTGCCTAGCAGCGAAAATGATTACTTCAATGATAACTCTCAACACTTCTCTATTTTCCACGATATGTCAATTCTTAGAAAGACACAGGGTCAAGTCTATTCTATTATTTTTTGAGAAAAGTCCACGGCTTATTTCAGACTGTAAGTGTTCAATAGTTTGTTCGTGAGTCTCTAAGTTACGTTTTAAATTTTGCCAGCTATTTGTTCCTTTATATGCCAAAACAGACTTTTTGGCTTTGGGTAATCCAAATAATTTACAAGATACACAATATACCTTATTTTGGAAAGGTGAATATGATAACCAATTTTGTTGCACTTGAACATTTTGTATAGTTTTGTGATAGTAAGATTCGTGAAAACTTCTTGATACACCATTTGGATCCATGCTTTGGGAAAAATACTTGATGTTAGTTCTAATGGAGAAGGCTGACATGGTCCATATTGCATAAAATATAAAATATGTTCATCAGGGAAATTTCCTGGATCGTTCGAATATAAATGAAAATCTAAAACATGATTAAATTTTAAAATTATATTATAATTTAAATTTCTGGTTTGTATTACAATAAAAATGAGTTACTAAAAAAAACTGCTAATATAAAACAACAAAATATTAAGAATATTAACCATGCATTCCAATTAAGATATCAACCGAGCTTGTATCTTTTGATGTTGATGGATTATCAATAACTAAAAAATATATATTAGTATTTTTGACAAAAAATACTAATATAAATATGACCAAATATTTACCATTCTCTTCAGTGTTTACTTTAAGTGCTTGAACACTATCAGAGTTTTTAACTATTGATGTTGATTGATTATTAAAGACTAAAAAATAAGAAATAATTATTATTTTAACAAAAAAAAAAAAAAAAAAAACAAGAATATATTTTATCATTTACCATTCTCTTCAAGGTTTACTTGAAGTGCAAGAGCTTGAACACTATCAGCATTTTTAATTATTGATGTTGATGGATTATCAAAAACTGAAAAATATATATTATTAGTATTTTTGACAAAAAATAAAATATAAATATGAATGTTTATCATTTAGCGTTCTCTTCAGGGTTTACTTGAAGTGCTTGAACACTATCACAGTTTTTTATTATTGATGTTGATGAATTATTAAAAACTAAAAAATAACAAATAATATTTATGTTGACAAAAAAAAATATTTATCATTTACAATTTTTTTCAATATATATAATAGTATTACTTTCTTTTAATAATTATTTATTCAAATGTATCCATGCATTACAACTCAGTGGCGTAATAAGCAATTTTAATAAAAGGAGCAAAATATATTTATTCAATCACTTACCGACCCACCTATCAATAAAATAACTTAGCACATTCGTGCTATAGCAGTAATTTGAAAAGTTGATGTACATAAATCAATACTACTATAGAAGTAGAATATAAATCGTTAAAATAAACACAGTACTGTTATAGCAGTTTTAATTTCAACAATTTCATATGAAAAAGCATGTCTTACTGTCCCCCTGCTACACTTCAGAACATTGGGCACTGTATTCATGGGCGTAATCGAGAAATCTCGATTGTCAAAATAATAATTCGATTATATAACTGAAAGATTATTTCGAGTGATATCTCATTCATTTTAAAAACAATAAATTCTTGATCTTGAAATGTGTATCGAATGAAAAAATATTTCGAATAATTTTCATGGAACGAAGGAATGATGGAGGAATACTATTTTTAATCTTCATAATCGAATAAGTAAATACCAGTTGTTCACTTTAAGTCTTTGTATTTTCGACTCGTGCTACTCGTGAGACTGGTTGATAGACAAATATTGATGGGTATACGGTTATTCTTAGTTATTTATATTACCTATAGCTATAATTTTTGAATTTCTCAGAACGTTTAAAAATACAATTATATTATATTTCAATTGAACATCTCGAACAAAGTTATGTCGTAAAAAAATGATTTCATTGTTTTATATTGTAATGTTTCAATTTTGATAAAACTGTATTTTCATAATTTTTTCTTTCAAAATTCGTTATATAAAATAAACCCTGTTGAGTTGAATTATTTTACTATTATTTTTATTTAATTGTTTAGGAAATATGATTATACTACTATAGCAGTACATCGATGTACGTAGTTCTAAATAACGATATAATGGAACAGTGCTATCACAGGAAAAATCATATTACCACAGATTAAGTAAAACAAAAAAAAAATTAAATAAATAATAATTTTAATATTTTATTTAATCTGTGATATTACTATAGCAGTAGCAATTTAGTGCGTTTATGAAAGTAATTTTTTTCCCTCCGAAAATTTCAACTGTCCACTAATGTGTTAAATACCATAATCGAAATTAATAAAACTAAATTACTAATAAATACCTGTTAGTGGATAAATTTGTGTATTTTCAGCCGAGTAAACTAAAGTTTGTAAATGTACCTATAATTTATAAATTTAATAAATTCAATTACTACATATTATAATATTTTAATAATAGAAAATTACATGTTCCCAATTTAAAATGGACTACTAAATTTAGTTCGCTATAAATAGTTTATTTATTTTTAATTTGAAGTTTCTATCAATCTTTTGACCCAAGATGGGCAGTAACTAGTTAAAAAGTTAAAAGTTACTTTCTTTTGTGACATTTCAATGTGACAACTAGCAAATGCATAGCATACCGTAATATCGGTTCAAACGTCAGCCAACTGGTTGCATCTGTCTGTTTGATCGGGACGCCGGCAACGTTTTGTGTGCTCACGTTCGTCAACGTGTACCTATTCGACGGACGAACGCGCACGCGCACGGCAACGTCGCACGCAACACTGGCATCTATCGCTGATAAACGCTGTCATTGGATCGTGGTCTGCCGCTCAGTAACGAAATCTCGATTGTTCACATATCTATCTTCGTTCGTTTTTTTTACTCGTAAGTCTTTTCATTTACTTTCGGAAATTGATTAACACGACAGTTTAAGCCATCGGTCTGTGCTAACCTGTTGTCTAACCGACGATTTGTGCTTTCTGCTGGAACAACGAAACCGAAGTTTGTCCAGCCGTTATCTCAACTTATCTTACCTGATGCGCCAGTCGCCCATTCCTGCCGCCAACATCATAACTATACCTTTTACCGCTACTGCTACCACCGCTAGTGCAACCGTCATTAATGTCGCTAATAGAGTTATAACCACCGCCGTTTCTCAAGATACTGGAACAGTCACTAGGTCTCGGAAGGCCGCAGCGTCTTCAAAATTGGTTTGCTCCAACTCGGCTGCTGCATCTGCAATTGGCTCTACCAATGCAATTCCTGCAGCCAATGAAAAAAATGGTGATGCACAAAAACCACAGGAGCCTGAAGCTGTTGCTGAATCTTCTACAGCCAACAGTAAGTCAATACCTACTTTATCGTTGTTTTCTATCAACTATCTTTCTGGTGTATTCCAGCCACTGGTATATGTGAGCATACGAATACCTAGCTTTTGAGATTTTATTGACCATTTTCTGTGCCTCATCTTACCTATTTCATTTCCATCAAGAACTCATGAGGCATCTATCCGGTTGACAATCATATTTTATCCATCTTTAAAAAATTATTATTAATAATTATATTTTCATTTTCATTGATTTTGAACTATGTGAACACGATACTGCTTTTAACCATGTATTTCTTGTTTAACATATTATTATTGCATTTACATATCGAAGTTCAGCTATACCTAACAGTTTAATTTTTATTATTTTGGGTTATGGGACAATGTATGGTTAAATATTTGGAATTATATATGATTTAATAATTTTTTAAAAAACTTATCAAATTATCCTTGTGTGATCGTTTAAAATTTTTGGAAACTAATAGCACTTTCTTTTTATGAACTTTAATGCACCGATTAAAATAATATTATTGTTAATATCACGAAAAAAACTTATCTACTAAGCATGCTATAGTATATATAGTACAATTACTCATATATAGTACAATTATTACATAAATTTTGTTCAACATGAGGTATCTATGGGAAATACTATTTTAAAAAAAAAAGATTTTGTATGTTAACAATAAAATGGTGGAATTTTATTATTTAAATAAGCTTAAACAAAGATTAAATAATAATTTGAATTATTGAGAAGTACTAATGAGTCTAATATATTTTTGCATAGAACTTAGAGGCTTCCAGAGTTGTTGAGTTATGTTAGTAAAAATATATTTATACACTTTTGAATTTATTTATGTTTAGACCTAAATTTGATTTTGTCTTGTTATTTTAATATGTGTATTTATCAGGTAGAATAAATTATTAGTTAGACCTATATTATGTTAATAATAATAATATTGAAACAAAAACATCACTAAATTTTTTTAAATTGCATGTGTTACTTTAGTTATTTAATTCATTTATTTAAAATTATTACACTAAGTGTCTTCAAAAATTATTTGCAAACTCTGTAAGGTTTTTTTTTTTTTTTAAGAATAATTGATGGTAATAACTCATTATTTACTTTCACTTGTATATTTTATACTGATTTCTAAGATTCAAATATATTCTGTCTTATATTTATGAATGTCATTTATTAATTATTAGTATTTTGATCATTATTATTAATTTATTTTATTTAACTTAATTGATTTACATAGATTAACTAGATATTTGTTAATATATTTTACTAATTTTTTTTCTAATATAGTTTTGTTATGAATTTTACAGGTAGACCTCTAAATGTTCTCAATGAATCAACTTCCATATCTTCTTCTTCCATTGAGAAGTTAACATATGATCTAAAAAGAACATCATCAGATGAAACATTAGTCAGTGATAAGATTAAAAAATCTAAAATAACTGTTAATGAACACTTAATGGCAGGGTCAGAAGGTAGATTATCCCATGACAATAATTTTGAAGTGTTTGGATTAGATAGCATTTCTGATAATGCAACTAAACAAAATGTAGAAGTAGTACGTGATGAAAAAGAAACCCAAAATGTTTTGAATGGAATTAGCCAAAAGACTGATGATGATAATCCTCATTTATTGAAATGTTTCAATGAAAACCATATGACTTTTGCTGTAAGAAATTTTCTTTATGTTATGTGTCACTGATACTGGTAGCGGTCAACTTGCTCTTACTAAATTTATGTACAATGGTTTCAATGTATTCCTAATTTTCGCTGTTGAGTATTAATTTATTTAAATTTTAATCCTAAATTAATTATGACCCCAAATGATAAATTAGTTATTCTTATATTATTCAAAACATTCAATGCACCATTATTGTAATATTAAAATTTTTATATATTACATATTAACTTATGATATTCCTTATTACTAAAATCCCCTTTACTTAAAATGTATTAACCAAATTGGAGTATGGTTAGCAGTTGCCAATTTTTGTGACATAATATCGTCTTATATTTATTTAATAATAACTTAAATAAGCTATAATTTTTATCTTAGCAATTTAAAATTATTTGTAAAAAAATGATACTTGAAGTTATGGCAGATGAATTTGGTTATGGTAATTACCGCAAAGAATTTGAAACGATTTTGGAAAAAACGAAATTTTTGAAAACAATGTATACATCATTAGAAAGAAAATGTGAAGAGCTCAAATCTATTGTCAGCATGTATATGAATGATTTGCACACCAATCCAAATGCTAGGCCAAAAATAAGTACAAAAAATGTAGGTGTACAAGCAGTATTAATTCCAGAAAAGGTAAATTGATAACTAAAAAAATGTAGTTATATAAATTATTTAAAGAAATATATTATAATTCCAGGATAGTTGTGTGCAGTCATCAAAAGCAAATATTGCTACTACTTCTTCACAGCAACATGATCAATTCAGTGAAGCTATGGATATTACTAGTGATGATAAGAATGATGTCATTGAAGTATTGGATAAAAAAATAAATCCTAAACCATCGTACTAAAAAAATGTTGAATGTGCTACTGATTCAACTCCTATAAAAGTAAATATTAATTTTAAATGTAGGATCTGTTACTCAAAAAATCTACAAATTAATTTGAATTTGTTGTATTTCCTATTGAAATATATATTAATTTGTCATTGTACATGTCTGATTAAAATTGGTAGAAAATGAAAATAATATTAAATATTGATATTTTTGTTATGATTTTATCAGATGATGCATGAATTACCTGTGTTGGTTAGTAGGTACCTCTAAGTAAGGAAAGGTTACCATCATCATTATATAGACCCAATTATAAGTAGATATGGAGTGAGAGATGTTTATCACTCTCGTCACTGTCTATTTTATTTTCTACATATAACGGTTTTGGTGTCGTAATCGTTTAATATTTAATATTATGTCTAACATTTATTTTTTTTAAATATATTAATTATATATCCCAGGAACAGTTGCGATAAGTCAACCGTCGAATAAGGTCGTTAATTTACTTGTCGCTCCGTTATTTTAGTTCTGCTTTCGTATATTCTTAAACTTTATGTCGGCGTCGTCTTCGGTCGGCGGTGGCAACCCGCCGCATGGCCAAAACCAGTCAACAGGAAAAACCAAAAAACTCAATGCCAGACTACATAATACTGATCATGATTGGTCCATAGCGACCAACAAGAAAGCATCTCATCGTAATAAGGTACCAACACCAAATAGTCCTATTCCCCCCACGCTACAGCAAATCTATAACAATCAACCTGTTCTAAATATGCCCAGCCAAACATTTAAATACGATAACACCTTATCTAATTCTCTTAATGAGTCGTCCAGCATGCATATGAATATAGATTCCTCTACAACCGATCACACAACTGCTTCTGTCACTGATAACACTACAAATACCGCCATTATCTCACGCACAAATATAACCGATAATCATGCAATTATTATCGACTCTACTTTGATCGCAGACAAGTCGTCTACATATTCTATCGATAATCAACTTACGTTTTCAAACGATAATATCAAATCACGGTTACGTCTTTTTTCACATGACTACGCTGGTCCTGTTATTACTCTAGTCGAATGTGTTGACCCAGGTAAAAATCTTGGTAACTGGCACCCTCTCAAGGCTTCAAAATTTTTCTCCTCTAACTTTGAAGGCATTACCAACATTAAGCCCACCAGCTTAAATAAAATCAAAATAACGTTCAACTCCGTATTTAATGGCAACATTTGTTTAAATTCCAACATTTTGAGCAATAACGGTTTTACGGCTATTATTCCTTCTACGCTCATATATTCATTCGGAATTATCAAATTAGATAATACATTCTCTGAAGATGACTTCCCTGATGGTCTTCAGTCTTCTATGCCAGTAGAAGCGTTTAAACGCATATCAATAAAAAAAGACGGTATCATAATTCAAACACGTATTGTCGAACTCAAATTTTTATCTCCGAAAATTCCAAGCCACATCTCAATATATAATATGCTCTTCGACGTCCAACCCAGTATAAGGTCTCCAGTTCAGTGCAATCGTTGCCTCCGTTTTGGCCACACTCAAAAATTCTGTCGCAGCAAACCGAGATGTAGTCATTGCGGCAGCGATGACCACTCCTTCGATGCTTGCCCGTCGGCCCATACTACGAACCTGAATTGTATTTTTTGTAATCTTCCTCATCTCGCCACCGACCATAGTTGCCGTGAATGGTTATTTCTAAAGGAAATTAAGAAAATCATGGCAACCGAAAATTTATCATACCGCGAAGCTCTAGATTTTAAGAAAAACAAATTTCACACCTCCGCTTTTAAATATTCGGATATTGTAAATAGTCAGTCTATTCCAGCCGTAAATACATCTGTCCCGACTTCCTTTACAACTGATGACTTTCCTAATCTAAACCCTAGTCATCATTTTTTTAACTCTAGAAAAAAAAAATCAAATCACACCCCTCCTCCCACCAAAATCATTTTTCTATTCCTCACGAATCTCTATCACCTCTACCTAATGGTAGCTACCTTAATACCTATGATCAAAATTCGCAACCACTTAAACAAAGTCCTAACGATTTTTCTTGGGTCCATCCACTTTCTCTTAAATTATCCGAATCCCTGATTAACTCCCCTAGTTTACTAACTCCCTTCACCTCCACAACTTCAGAACTTAATTGAATCATCGATACATTCTTTACTCTCTCTTCCTAAATTTAACATCACTCAATAATAATTATCTCCTACATAATATTTTTCCCGCTTCTCAGTTTTACATTTTTTTTTTTATTTTTTTCTTTAGTAATGTCTTCTCTAAGAAGTTATAACTCTTCTCCTTCTCTAAACATTTTACAGTGGAACGTTAGAAGTCTCCCTGCTTGAATTACTTCTTTACAGAACTTACTTGCTCATTATAAATGCTCCATTGCTATACTCTCTGAAACATGGTTACTTCCTTCTCGTGCCTTTAATATACCTCAATTTAATTTTTTTAGATGTGGTCCGCTCGACAGTTATGCAGGTTCTGCTATCGCGGTTCACAGTTCCATAAAATCTAGCCTGATTACTCTGGATCCGGTTACAAAAAATCGTTTTACTGAAAAAAAAGTGAACATTGTTGGCGTTGAATTACTAAAGTCCAATTTTTCTCCATCTCTCTCCATATGGTCCTGCTATATTCCCGGCGATACTTATATTTCTGTGGACCTATGGCAATTATTATTCAATTTGATTTCTCCGTCTTCTTTAATATGCGGTGACTTTAACTCCTTCCACCCCTCGTGGGGCTCATCCTATTCTTCCCCCCGAGGTACTCATATCTACGATATTGTCAACTCCCTTGGTCTATGTATTTTAAATAACGGTAACTGTACTCGTATCGGGCGCTCGGGCTCTAATGACTCAGTCATCGACCTATCCTTCTCGTCTCCTGATCTGGTTTGGAATACAACGTGGTCCACTATGGATGACCCTAATGGTAGCGATCACATCCCTATCCTTATCACCATTAACTACTCTCGTAACCCTCATCCCCCATTCTCAACCAGTCTGCAAAATCCTCTTTCTCTAACTCCTCATATTTTAATCTTAATAAAGCCGACTGGATTGCATTTTCTCAATATGTTCAAAATAGTATCTCTTATATACAAGATACAACATCCCCAACTATTTGTTATTCTACCTTTATCGATATCATAAACTAAGCCTCGATCAACTCAATTCCAGTAAAAAAAACCTATTCCAATACATTTCCTCCTTCCCCTCCTTGGTGGAATTCTTCTTGTACTAAGGCTGTCAAAAATAGATCATCTCTTTTTAAACTATTTCGCCGTTCAGGTTCTATGGCTGATCTTATTGCCTATAGTAAATCGTGTGCGACAACAGCACGGATTTTAAAAAAAGAAAAACGCACAGCATGGAAAAACTTTTGTACCAACTTAAATCCATCTGCTACTATCCACCAACTTTGGCACACCGCCAGACTCTTTAAAAAATGTGTTGTTCCCTCTCCTCGTCCTATCAATGATGATTGGTTCGATATGTTTTGCTCCAAGGTTGCCCCTTGCTACGTTCCCACTGAAGACGAAAATAATCAACAATTAATTACTCAACCCTTGCAACCTCATGTTTTCTTAAATCCTTTCTCTTTGTCTGAATTAATGAATGCTATATCTTCCCGTCATTTATCTGCATCTGGTCTTGATAACATTTCTCCTCTTATGCTAAAAAACTTACCTCCTAACGCACTCGAAGTATTACTCCGCATTCTTAATGATGTCCTATCAACGTCTTCCTTCATCCTGGTCTTCTTTTCGCGTAATTCCAATACCTAAAGGAAACTCTACCTCTTCTTTTCGTCCCATCGCCCTATCTTCAGCTTTATGCAAAATTTTCGAACACATGCTCAAATCACGCCTAGATTGGTGGCTTAAATCTGGAGCAATTTTATCTGATAATTTATTTGCCTTTCGTAAAGGCAGAGGTACACTCGAATGTCTTTCGATCTTCTCTGGTCATATCTATCATGCCTTCAACGACAAAAAATTTTTGGTCGCTACTTTTATCGATATTCGAGGTGCGTTTGATTCAGTTCATATCCCTACTCTAATTTCTCATCTTTCCTCTTTAGACCTACCACCTACTTTGTGCAACCTAATTCGTTCTTTGTTCTCTAGCCGGTCTCTCTCTTTCTTTTCTCGTTTTGGTTCTCACAATACTCGCTCCACTTGTACTGGTCTCCCACAAGGCAGTTGCTTAAGTCCCATTCTTTTTAATATATACATAAACTTTATCGCCAAACATCTCTCTTCACGTGACCACCAGTTCCTCATCTACGCAGATGACATTGTAATTTTTTCTACCAACAAATCCTTAAATCTCGCTATCGAGACCTTAAACATAGCTCTCATGGATCTTAACGACATACTTAATCGTTCTCTCTTTACGGTCGCCCCTGGAAAGTGCAAAACTGTTATCTTTACTCGACATCATTATCTAAATCCTAGTGTCTTCCTTGATAGTACTATCATACCTTTAGTTCCCGAGGTCACCTACCTCGGATTAACTCTAGATCCAAAACTACGTTGGTCTCCTCATATAGCCTCTCTTTCCAAATTCTTTGTCAACTGGTCTAATTTCCTTAAATCTGTTGCCGGTACCTGGTAGGGATCTCACCCTTCTTCATTACTTTCAATATATCTATCGATAATCCGATCAAAACTCGACTATGGTTGTTTTCTCTTCGGTTCAACGTCATTCTCTGTCTTTAACAAACTTAATAAATTTCAATCTTCTTGCCTCAGAACCATTATGGGTTACCTAAGATCCACTCTTACTCCAGCCATCGAAGTTGAAACCGTCTGTCCTCCATTTAATATTAGATGTCGCTGGTTAGCAGGAAAATTTCTACTTAAATCCCTCTCAAACTCTAACTCTATCATTTTTGACACCTTTTTCTCTCTATTTCTTAACTGGCGCTATGTTCAAAAATCACTTCCTGTTCTCTCACTCACTGCTAATTCATTATCCTCTTTCCCTGAATATATTTTTAGCTCAAATTT